AGAAGAAAAACCTTCAGAACATGGCCAAACAGCCTGAAAAACCTACAACTCTATGGCTTAATTTCCAGTTAACTGAAGACACAGGAACTATCCACGGAAAAGCAAGTATAGAGTTCCCACACTTTCACGGCAGCATCTGTAAAAGGGTGCCATGCACTGACATAGCGAAGTAAATAAGCAGAAAGATTGACCTACCGTTCCCATACAGGTGTCCTTCACATCCACCCAGACAGAGTCGGCCACAATCTCATTGTCCCCCACTGGGTAATAAGCCAAAACACGGAATGAAGGGATGAGATCTGGGGTGATGCGCAGAGACATGGTGACCAGATTCTGTCCAGCTCGCCTCGGCTGCCTCCCAGCCCTCAGTATCTTCCCTTTAGTTAAGATCTAATGATAAACAAGGCATAATATTAGGAAGAAGACCGTGCATTGGTTTGAAGAATGTGATGCTGATAAGGATGAACTACATGACTTAACACACGCAGTCAACAGAATAAAACAGTTCTTCACTTCCTGTGCAATGCTGTAATATGGAAGTGCTTACTGCTTTCTTGTAAAACAAGATTCTAGTCCTACCTACACATGCCTAGCACAGTAGATTTTATTTCACAAAACAAACAAACATCCAACCCAGGGAGTGCTAACATCTATGATACAATGGCAGCTAAAATATACCAAGAAAAGTCCAAAGCACTCTACAAAATGAGAAGAATAAAATCAATGCAGCTTATAGTCCAGTGGTCTAAAACATACACACCAGGAGTGTACTATAGTGCCTGGGAGCATTTCACCCCAAGGAATAGCATCCTCTGGGGCTGTGGAAGCTCATAAAGATCTTGGAGGGACATGTAAGCTTCCTTTGTATCAATTACCTACTACATCCCTATCGACATCACTGCTTTTGATTAACGCTAAAATATTCCTTGAGACCTGAGATTATTTTCTTCCCAGGCACTTTTCCCAACAGTGACTGGACTCATGGTCCCCTCCTCCACCATAATTTCAGCATTATATAGAAGCTGGGAGCTCCACTCTGCCCACATTGATAGCACTTACTATGTAGGTTAAATATGTGACTCCATTCAGCACGTCTTGGTTGTTGCTTCTCAAATTGAAATTGATATGCAAGTCATCCCCAGCCTTGAGCTCTGTAGCAGAGACTGCTAAATGCAGGTAGTTTTCAGATCCTGCCTGGGTTTGGTAAGGTCTAGCCACCATGCTGTTGGTTGCCTGACGTTCTTTTGGGAGTCGTTCATGGTTGGTTTTTACCTTGAGAGGGAAAGAAGGTTAACCAAGTCTGATAGAAGCCATGACTCCTTTGAACAACTACTTCATAGATGAGAAGAATCATGAGAGGTCCAAATGGATGTGTATACACATATAGAAGATGAAACCAGTTGTGGTTGGGATAGAGACAAAAGTCAGTGGGACTGAGGGTGCTTCCTCCCCCTCTACCTGAATATTTTTCTTTCTGGTCTGCACCTTTTGTTGCGGGTCAGAAATAATGACTTGCAGAAGGATTTTGAAATGAGACCAAGTGCTGTACAGAATTAAGTCATGAGAAAATACCATTTTAGATATTTAGGTACAAGTTGCCCACCTATATTCTACAAGCCAAACATGTGCTCCACCACACCATTGACCAATGTATCCTACCCTGAAAGTTCACACATATTGACAATGAATCACTGTTTTGTTTCTGTGTGTGAAAAATAGGATGACCGACAACTACAAGACATTTGAAGGAACTTAGAATAAACTTCGGGTGACTTACAGTGATCCTTAGCTCTTGTGCATTTCCAGGCATATTCAGGACTAGCTTGGCAATCCCATCATTCTGTGTTACTGCATTTCCTGCAAGAGGCTCTGACACCACAGGGACCCGGGCAGCTGGGGAGCCATCAGGATTGGTGACATATACCTGGAGCAATTCAGAACAAGTGACTGAGCTTGAAATCAAGGGGTGCTTCCTGAGCCTGTCAAGGATAATGTCCAGGCCTGAACAGAACAAGGTGTGTGTTAATGAGCAGCCATATTGCACAGGTGTGTAAGAATGCTGAGTCATGCTGGCTCATGGATGTTGACTCATGGATGATGTAACATCTAATGTGATTGGTCACATGCAGATGTGTATATGTATATATATTTGAAACTGTACGGAAGATGTATTCCTGATTTGTGATTAATGCTATCCTGTTATGCTGCCAGACTGAACTGCTGTATAGATCCTGTAAATACATGTTGGTGTGGGGAGAAGTTGCTTGTGTGTGTGTGTTATTTGGACTACCTGGACTGATCAATACTCTGCTGATTCTGCTGAATTTACGCTGATTTTGCACTAACAAGGGGTTATGGGCCCAGCAACGCGCTCTGCGATACCTGCCTTGTGCCAAGGATGCCAGTGAGTGCCAGAGGGTGCCACAGAAGCATATGTAAAAAGTCCAGGAAGGTGAGAGTTCTGCCACTGAGATCCCAGGAGGGGAAAGAGAACAGAGGACTGAGAGAAAAGGCAGCAGCATGTAGTCATTTGGGGCAGCAAGCATGGGAGGTTTTCCTTTAACAAAGCTAAATGAAAAGAATTATCAAACATGTTCGGTTAAAGCCGAGATGTTGCTGGGAAGGGAGGACTTGTGGTAGATTGTTTCCGATCCTCCCGCTGCGTTAGATGAGGAGGAAGAAAAACAAAATGAAAGGGCTTTAACCATGATAATTCTGTGCCTGGAGGACAGCCAGTTAGTAAACGTACGTGGACTGACCTTGGCTAAAGAATGCTGGGAATCTCTCAGACGAATTTATGTCAGACATACAGAGGGAACCAAAGTAACTTGGACCAGAAAGCTGTATACAGCCAGGTTTAAACATGACGGGAGCATGTCTGAGCACCTGCAGAAGATGAAAAACCTGTTCATAGAGCTTGAACAGAGGGGAATAAACTTCACACAAAGCCACAAAGTGTACATAATCTTGAACAGTCTCCCAGAGGACTACAATGTGCTGGTGACAAGCCTTGAGTCCATGCCAGAGAGGGACTTAACTCTTGAGTACCTGACAGGCAGACTGCTGGAGCAAGAGCAAAGGAGAAATGAAAGATCCAAAAACAAAGGGAGAGATGACAGTCCACAGTGGAGGAGAGAGTACAGCCCACAGTGGAGGAGAGCTGCTTCCAGGAGGGGAGAGTAGATGAGCAAGGCTTTGACTGCGAGACGCTGTTTCAAGTGCGGTTCTGAAAAGCATTTACAGAAGAACTGCAGAGAAGCTGGCCACAGAAGCGAAAGCAAGAAACAGGGAAGGATTTCTTTTGTTCAGGCTTCTGATAAAGCCAAGGTCACCAGCTGGATCCTGGACAGTGAAGTTGTATGTCATCTAACTAACAAACAAGACCTGTTCTCTTTTCCAGGTGCTTCAGAACACAGTTTCATGAGCCAAACGAATGGAGAGAAGTCTGCCATCACTGGAGAAGGGACTGTTTGTTCCAGGTTTGAAAAGGGAACTTAGTGGTGTGTTACTAGTTCCAAAATTAGATTGTAACATACTGAGCGTCTCTAGTCTTGATAAGGAAGGTTATACAGTGTCATTTGATGAGAGCACTTGTACAATTAAGAAAGGAAACAAAATTTGTACTACAGCAAAGCTTGAAAATAATTTATATGTGCTAAAAGGGAAAACACAGAACAATGTGACACATGCCATGGTTAGGAACACACCTCAGCATGACCAATGTGCCCACTTGTTGCATAGAAGGCTTGGTCATGCAAATTTCAGAGTAATACAGAAAATGGAAAACTTGGCTAAAGGTGTGAGAATGAAGCCTTGCAAGAATTACTTAAACTGTAATGTGTGTAAACTGACAAAATAAAAAGTACACACAAAAAGCAGAAAAAGTACTAGTCAGACTCAGAGGCCATTTCAGTTAGTCCATGCTGACATAATTGGGCTTCTTGCGCCATCTATGTGAGGAGCGAAATATATCCCAGTCATTGTAGATGACTACACACATTATTATTTCTGCTACTTGATGAAAAACAAAGCAGAAGTGTTCAATCATTTCAAAAATTGGGTAAATTTTGTGCATAGACTATATGACTGGAAAGTGGCTCAAATACAGACAGATAGAGGGTCTGAATTCATGTCAGGAAAGTTCCAGACATGGTTGAACAACACAGGAATATTCTACAGAAAAACCAGTCCATATTCTCCTTTCCAAAATGGGGTTGCAGAGTGCAGGAATGGAGTCTTGCAAACAATGAAGGATGCCCTATTAGCAGATGCTAATATGAGTCATGTGTGCTGGGGTAAAGCATTGTTAACCTCAAATTACATTGTTAACAGCTATAGAGCAAACCCCATATTATATGTTGTATGGGAAAGAGCCTTCCCTACAGCATATGAGAGTGTTTGGATGTAGTGCCTGGGTGCACGTACCAAAGGAAACCAGAAGAAAATATCAAAAGCTAACAAAATTAGGTTTTTGGGCTATGAAAGAGGGTCCAAGGCATATCATTTCCTGGATAGAAACAAAAATGTAGTAATCTCCTGATTGGTTTTCCTTTGTGAGCATGAAAACTGGGACAAGGTACACGCAAATTCCCAAATATACATTTCCATAAGAAAAAGTGAGAAAAATCGAGGAAATGAGATAGAGCCAAAGCAGGAGGCTGAAGAAAGCTCAAGCAACAGCACCTCAGAAGAAGAGGATGATAGGGAATGTAGTGAAATACAAAGCCAGCCTGCAATTAAAGAAGAACCACTAATCCCCAAAAGGTCTGAAAGGGCTAATAAAGGAATCCCTTCAGCAAGGTTTGGTGTAGGGGAAATAAAAGTGTGTCATGTATATCAAGAACCCAAAAATTATGAGGAAGTGTTGCTTCTACCTGAGGCAGAGAAAAGGAAATGGGAACAAGCCATGAAGGAAGAGTTAAAATCCATGGATGGCCATGGAATATTTACAGAGAGTTTTGCCACCAGAAGATAAAGTAATTCATAGCAAGTTAGTCTACAAAAGAAAAATGCAAATAAATGGAGATTATAGGTACAAAGCAAGACTTGTGGCTCAGGGATACACAGTAAAGAAAAATGTGCATTATGATAAAGTCTTTTAACCAACAGTAAAAGCAGAATCTTTGAGGTTAGCATTAACTCTAGCTGCTTCTAGAAAGTACATAGTGAGTCACTTTAATATAACTACTGCTTACAGTGGTGCCCCGCTTGACAACGATAATCCGTTCCAGCAAAATCGCTGTAGAAGGAAATCGTCATCAAGCAAAATTAAAAAGCCAACTGAAATGCAGTGAAAACCGCTCAATGCATCCCAATGGGCGAAATACCTCATTGTAAAGCAAAGATCCTCCATAGGGCGGCCATTTTCCAGTGCCTGTAAAGTGAAGAAACACAGCGGGGAACCATTTTGAAACAGCAGGCGGACGTTTTGAAAGCCGACGATCAGCTGTTTTTATCGTCGTCAAGCGAAAAATCGGTTCCCAAAGCAGGGAACCGATCGTCGTCAAGTGGATTTTCCCATCTAAACACCGTTTTGCAATCGCAATAGCGATCACAAAATACTCATCGTGAAGCGATTTTGTCGTCTATTGGAGTAAACGTCTAGCGGGGCACCACTGTACTTAAATGCAGATTTACAAGAAGAATTGTACATGGCACAGGCACCTGGGTTTGAAAGCTCTAAACCAGGGATAGTGTATAGGTTGAACAAAGCAATTTACGGGCTTAGGCAATCAGCAAGAAATTGTAATCAGTGTCTGCATTCAGCACTGAAAAGGTTAAAATATAGAAACAGTTTGGCAGATCCATATTTATATGTGAAAGAATACAGAAAAAAGCTAAATATTTTGTTAGCGTATGTAGATGACAAATGTTTTATGTCAAAGGATCAAAGCCAAATAGATTTATTTGAAAAGCAGTTGAAAAATGAATTCAAATTGAAGAACCTAGGCCCAATACAAAATTTTTGGGGGTGCAAATTCAGAAACAAGACAAAGGTTATATGTTAGGTCAGAAAGTGAAAATAGAACAAATGTTGGTAAAATATAACATGCAAGAATGTAAAAGTGTACAAACTCCAACAATAGTGGATTTTCAAAAGTCAGGAACTGAGAACAAAGAGTTTGAAAATCAGGAAATATATCAGTCAGCCATAGGAAGTCTGATGTATCTTGCCAATTGGACAACACCAAACATTGCTGCAGTGGTGAATATTCTGAGCAGATGTGTCAAAACCTACACAAAAAACATTGCTAAGGAGTAAAAAGGGTGTTCAGATATTTAAAAGGAACACTTGGCAAATGTTTAGTCATAAAACCTTCAAACGAATTGAAATTAAAGGTGTATGTGGACAGTGATTGGGCCAATGATGTAATAGAAAATCAGTTTCTGGGTTTGCAATAATGTTTGCAGATACTTTGGTGGGATGGAAGTCAAGAAACAAAGTTCTATTGCCACATCAACAACTGAAGCAGAATTTGCAGCATTATCAGAATTGTGCTCAGAAACTGTGTAGTACAATTACACACAGATTTAAGAATTATAGTAGATCAGGCCATAACTGTGTAAGAAAACACTACATGCATTCAGATGGAGACCACTGAAAAGATGCGAAGCAGGAGTAAGCACATTGACATAGAGTATCATAATGTTAGAGAAGCAATAAAAGAGAAGTTGAGTTACAATATTGCTAGACAAAGAAAAACGTAGCTGACATTTTGACAAAACCTCTGAACATACAAAAACATAAGGAAATGATTGAAGAATTGGATGTATGTTCTGCTCAGGTGTAAATTAGGAGGGATGTCAAGGATAATTTCCAGGCCAGAACAGAACGAGGTGTGTGTTAATGAGCAACCATATTGTACAGGTGTGTAAGAATACCGAGTCACGTTGACTCATGGATGCTGACTCATGGATGATGTAACATCTAATGTGATTGGTCGCATGCAGATGTGTATAAGTATATATATTTCAAACTGTACAGAAGATGTGTTCCTGATTTGTGATGCTATCCTGTTATGCTGCCTGACTGAACTGCTGTATACTGTATATCCTGTAAATATACGTTGGTATTGGGAGAAGCTACCTGTGTGTGCGTAAGTTATTTGGACTACGTGGACTGATCAATACTCTGCTGATCCTGCTGAATTTCTGCTGATTTTGCACTAACGGAGCCTAGATCACTAGTGTTGATACATCTGCAACATGAGAATTGTACTGCTTTTTATGTGCTCCTTTCTGGATTTGAAACAGCACAAACACACCCTGAGAGGAAAACAGACTGCAAATAAGATTACCGTCAGTCCGTAGGGCATTGATCGCTTGAAGTATTTGGGGGTTTTGGTGAAGTGGATCTGATAGGGAGATGTTACAATGCTAATGTCACTTTTCTCTACCATCACCATGTCGCTGCCTGCAGAAAGAACATAGGAAAGGCAGGCTAAAATATGAAGCCAAATTGTTAGAGGGGGAGGAAATATCTCCTCCAAATTATTTCAGAATTAGCCTCTTGAGATCCAATAATTTCCAAACATTCTGTTTCTTACAGAATTACACTTCATCTCCACTTGTCTTCTGAAGAAGCTCTATGTGTTGGATAGACTACAAAATCTATTAAGACTTTTGAGGAGAAAACCACACAGAGAGGTCATATTAACCAATGCTGGACTTTGACAACAAGGGCCTTGTGCAGAAAAAGCAGTGCAGCACATTCCTACTGCCAGGATTGAAATGAAACTGAAAACACAATGTCAGATTCTAAAGGATAGACTGACTCTATAAAGGAAGCCACAACCCTGATTTTGTAGGAGTTGTAGGAGTTGAGCTGGTCTGTTAGTGGTAGGACATGGTGGTCACTCCTTCACAGGGTCACCATAAGCTGGCGATGAATTAATGGTACATAGCAGCAATTACTACTTCTACTTCTACTACCCTGTTTCACTGAAAATAAGACTTAACCTGAAAATAAGCCCTAGTATGATTTTTCAGGATGCATGTAATGTAAGCCCTACCCCCCAGTTAAGTGAAACCCTGCCCTCCACCATTGTGCCGCACTGTGCAGCAACCAGAAGGAGATGACATTACTGTAAAATAAAACATCCCCTAAAAATAAACCCTAATGCGTTTTTTGGAGCAAAAATTAATATAAGACCCTGTCTTATATGCGGGGAAACATGGTACATGTTCTGTGGTACACATTTACCTCATACACAGCAAAGGCCAAGATTTTGGGACTTTTTCCTTCCCCAAGTGAGCTAACGAGCAGCTAATACTCCCCTTGCCAGAGGGTAAGTTCTTTCTTGGAATCTTGTCCCACACTGAGGACGCACAACTCTTAAAAACCCAATTTGCTACTATAATGAACTCACAGAGACTCTGATAAATGCGCAAAAATCCCCAATTTTCTTTAGTGAATTACAGCAGTGATTCTTAACCTTTGTTACTCAGGTGTTTTTAAACTGCAACTCCCAGAAACCCCAGCCAGCAGAGGTGATGGTGAAGGCTTCTGCGAGTTGCAGTCCAAAAACATCTGAGTAACAAAGGTTAAGAACCTGTGAATTACAGAATTTGACACATGCTTTATTAGATGTCGAAAATACATACAAGATGACATACTCTCTGTCACAGAAATAAGCAACAATACACAGAGATCAGTCACCTTACTGGAGTCCCATGAGTTTGAAAATTACAAAAATGATATACCCGTATTTTTTGCTCCATAAGACGCTCCGGATCTTAAGACGCACATAATTTTTAGAGGGGTTAAACAGGGAAAAT